AAATCTCAATTTCTATATCGGTCGACCGCGCCGGTCGACCGATGATGGCTCTGCTTGTTTTCCAAGTTTTCAAAGGTGTTCGCGGTCGACCGGATTTTCGGTCGGTCGACCGAAGCATTTTGTCGGTCGACCGAAAATCCCTTCGGTCAACCGAAATTTTTCTTCGTTCAGCCGCGACTTTTTTAAAACGGTTATTTGCCTAGAACACTGTGCTTACACTTAATCGTGTTTGGCACAGTCTGAGCTAAGGGTCTGGAAAGGAGATTATTTTCCTATTTTAGAAGATTGGGTTTTGTTTTTAAATTAATTAATTTCTTCTATTTAAACCCTAGACTTCTTCTTCTTCAGTTGCCCTAACGTTTTGCAAAAACCAGAGAGACTGCTGTCTTCCTGAGAAAATTTTCAAATCTGTTTTCTCTGTGGTTTTTGTGAGTGAGATCTTGTGTAGATCAACTGTGAGGGAGTGTGATCTGTTGAGATCAAACTGTGTAGTGAGAGATCGTGTAGGATCACTGTGTAGACGAAGTTTCGGCTTTCAAACCGGGTGTGTAGTGGATTTCTCCTCGAGAGTGGGGAGCGGGGACGTAGGTCCGAGGGCCGTGGGGAGCGGGGACGTAGGTCAGCGGGCCGAACCTCGTTAATACATCGCGCGTCAAGGATAACGATTCCTAACTCTATCTCTCTTACTTTGATTGCATTTCTGTTTTGTGGTTTGCTTGTGTTTATTTATTTTTATTGCATATTAGAGCCTCTTGACCCTAATCACCCCCCCCCCCTCTAGGGTCCAACAAATTATACTATGTATAAAAATACAATAAGCTTAATAGGTTGTGTGTGAACAAATAGTATAAATAAAATCAAATATAAATTCAATGTAAAATCTAGATTATGGAAGTTATAATCAAAACAATAAATAGCAAGAATTGAGTTTAGAAAAACGTTTCTATAGATAACAAGAGGAAGAGAGAGAAGAGTTGAAGCTCAAACACAAATGGTAATCTCATCTAGCTCTTGTGAAAACTTTTTCACAAACAAAACGGTAAACAAATTTAAAACCCTTAAACAAACTTGTAAAAACTCTTTTAAACTTTTTTCTTAGTTGATAAACAGAGCTGGGTATGAGGGGGTATATATAGGGAAGAAACAAAGCCCAAAAACCAAGAAAATCCAACAAAAAGACAAAAAAAAATAAAAAGCTGGAAAAACTAGTCGTTACAGGCGTCAGTCGACTGACGGGTTGGATCAGTCGACTGATGAGCTGACCGTTACAGGTAGCTCACAGCACATCAGTCGACTGAAGACCTCATCAGTCGACTAATAAACTCATCAGTCGACTGATAGTTCATCAGTCACAAAAATAGAAACTTTTGTTTATTCCAGGCGAGTTCATCAGTCAACTGATAACAGGTTATCAGCCTGAAATGAATAGTAAAACTAAACTTTAAACCTCTTTTAAAAATAGTAAATAAATTCTAAAACATATAAAACGTTGGAGAATGCTTGTAAACATGAAAATGAACATGTTACAAAAAGAAATTTTGGAATTACACTTCCTAATTGTGAAAACTCATCATTTTGCAAAATCGTCCAAAAATATAAAAACACAACAACACATGTTTTTGACAAAATGACTTAAACAAACTCTTGAAACATTTTGAATGGATTTATAAACTTTATACAATATATGAAAATAGTGTAAACAAATCTTCAATCCATAAACACAATATTTTTGCAAATATAATAGAATATAAAAACAATAAACATGATTTCATTGATTTGAGATCTTTTAAAGCTTGATTTTAATGAAATCGTATTTGAGCACATATAAATACGAAACAAATATGAGCGTGTACAATTTGTATTCATTTGTTTCATATTTATGAGGCTAAACACATTATTTACCAAAACCAAAAATAATAAATATGAAACATGTATGTATATAGATAAGTATATTTGTTTTATATTTAAACTTAAAAGCCATAAAACCAAAACGTGTATGTGTGTATATGATTGAGCTTAAAGTATCAACAAACATAATATAAACCCTAAACTAATTTACCCAAGCTATCGTGATCTTCAATTGAGCTCGTCTTGGTAAACTTTGCGGATGAAGGTTGATCTTGGATATTGACTTGAAATGTATTGCTTCATACCGATATTCCTTCCATCCTTCAAAGGCTATGATTGTGGAAGCTCTAGTCCATCCATCCTCCAACAGATTGTTTGTCTAGAATAAATATAAAAACAGAAATACTAGACAAACAATATTAGTCATAAATTGTTTGTTAAAACATCATCAAAACAAAAAGGCCAATAGTCGAGGGTAAAAATTGATGGGTCGTCGAGGGCGGCGTGCGGTCGAGGGTGGCGTGCGGCGGGTCATCGAGTGCGGCGGGTCGTCGAGGGTGGGAGATGGTTTTCAGAATGAGACCAGAGAAAGAGAGAGAACGGTGGCTGATAAGAGAATGAGGGTTTGGATTAGGGTTTGGTTGAGATATTTATGTCTAGGATATTTTAATTTTAGCCCCTCAAAGCTTTAATATTTTCAAATTAATTACCGAAATCTCATAGAAATTTCTATTGCAACCCTAAAATATAACTATTCTTACCAATTTTTCTTTTACATCCTTGAGTTCAGAGTTAATGATTGAATTGTTTCAATATTAGTCCCTCAAATCTTTAATATTTCCAAATTAGTCCATCAAATCTTCAATATTTCAAAATTACTCACTCAAATCATGCAAATTTCTATTACATCCCTCAAATCATTACAATATTTACTATTAGGTCCCCTGGTTAACACCAGTTATATTTAAAGAAATATTCTTTTAAATCTAACTATTATTACTAGTTTCCCTTAACTTTTAATTATAAAAGGTTAACCCGTTTGGACCTAGTTGACCCGTTAAAACGTGAAAACTCAAATTCATTAAAATAAATTTCCTCCAATAGATATCATCTACGCTATAACTCAATTTCAATGGCTCTTTCTCCTCTTAACCTTATCAAACTCTAAGAGAACTTTATCCAAATTATTTTTATTTGTTTCTTTAGTGATTAAATCTCATTAAGCTCTTCTCCTATTTATTAGTGATGTTTGTAGGGTCAAGTTCATCCGTAAATAAATCCAATTAAGAGTAGTGGAGGTCATCAAATCTACTAGCATAAAGAATAAAAGATATATAATAAATTCTAAAAATAACATAGACTTTCTAATTAATTGAAAAGAGCTATGATAAGTTCTGGTATATCATTAGTAATATTAATATGATTACATGTTCGTAACACGTATAACTAAAAATGATCTCTTTATTGGCCTCTCACCATTTTCTCATCATCTTCACTTTTCTTATCATTTTCTCTAAATTAATCAAAGTCGAAGCCAAAAACTCACGAATACTTATCGAATATCAAAGTATATTTATTCTGCCAAAGAATTTAATTTTCAAGTAGTATTAAAATTCATAAATAAAAATCATTCCATTATACTATATGATGTGTATATATTTAAATCAATATTTAATTAGAAAACAAATTTAAGTTTATTTAAGTCTTAAAATCGGTATATAAAAATTAAGTTGAAAAGGTAAATGGTTAAAATACGACATCATATATGCAATAATACAAATAATAAAACGTGATTAATTTTAAACGAATATTTAATATACAAACAAATTGAATATACATCTGCTCAAATTCCAATCTTTAGAAAACTCGAATTCTAAAAAATATTTGTTTGGCGTTAAATGAACTACCGAATCGAATATGACTGAATAATTAGTTTGGTATATGCACTGGCGACGGTTCTGTGTCGTCGCCAATACGTATTAGCGACGGCATCAACATTGGTGACGGGTAAACCCCAGTACTATTTGTCGCCAATGTTGATGTCGTCGCCAATACGTATTGGCGACGGGATAACATTGGCGACGGACGTGTTCCGTCGCCAATGTAGAACATTGGCGACGGGGTATTGGTGACGGGTCGTTTCTCGTCGTCAATGTTTGTATTGGTGACAGATTCGATATCCTTCGCCAATGCCCCGTCGCCAATACCCTATTTTCTACTAGTGGTTCGTTCGTGTTATCTTTGCACTTCTCTGTCAGATGTAATCAGGAATTGATGGTTAATGTCTTTCTTTCAAAACAAAGTCAGCATTTCATTATGAAAGAAATGAAGTTCGTTTGCGTATCTTTCTTTCAGTTGTTTCCATGTCTTTCTTTCAAAACAAAATCGGCATTTTATTGTGAAAACAAATGAAGTTTGTTTTTGGCTGAGAAGTCGGAGCACTTGGCTGCTTGTGTGATTTGCTTAGTGTTAGACCAGAGTCTAGTTACAGCCAGCCAAAAGTACTTTTTAAAAAAGATTAACTCGCATCTGGTTGCCGTTCTTTTATCCTATGTAAAGCCATTATTGTGGCTTCTACTTTCCATTTTCCAGTGTAGGATTATCTTTTTTTCAGAGTAGGATTATGAGAACCGCTGACCATCTCATACTGAATTGGACAGTATTTTTTTTTCAAATGTACCGTGATTTTTGCAACAATTAATTGACGTTTATGCGTGTGAGATGATGCAAGTCATATTCCATTTGAATGGAAGAGATTCCAAAATAATAATAATGCTCGAAATTTAAGATGGTGTTTTTTCTTCAAACAGTGCTATATTCACAAAACATGTTTATAATCTCGTCCTTTTTTTGCTATGAAGCTCAGCACCATCGCCGACATCAGTCACCAAATTGACACACGGAAAAGATTAAAAAAATCACCAAAAGAAATAAACGCCCAGATAAGGAATGAAAAATTTTCCACCATATTTAAAGTAATCAATCACAGTTACCAGGCTGGTTAAATTCCTTGAGCACCTTGAGGAATTTGAGAAGATATCGCTCGATTTGCCAAGGATACCGCACAATTTTCTCCCAGCAGCTGGAAGCATTCTCAAAATCAAGTGGTGGCTTACCCTACTAATTACATTGGAGAGCACTTGAAAGAAATCTCTTCGAAGGGTGCCTCATGTAACTCATATGCTAAGTAACATCATATCAGAGTATATCTTTCATTGGTTTATGTAAGTTCTCAACAAAAAAAAAAAGTCAAACCTTGATATAGTTAAACCGAAAACAACATTTTACAAAATTTGTGATGTTCAATGTCATGTTTGCGTCTTCGACAACAGCCGAATCACAGAAATCCCACGAAACTGCTGAAGATTACGGTCAACCAGACAGCCCATGGACAATCCTACAAAGACAAACCCTACCATCATAGCTATACTATCTACCGGCACGCCAGAACTTAAATGGCTCCATGTGAGCATGAACGCTCATAGTCAAGCATCTTCTGGTGAATGCTCAGCATTTCCAGGTGGGATCAGTGCCCTGGATTGGATTAGGAACCAGGAAAAAAACAATCAGTTCACACTTACAAAAAAAACATCAAGAATAAAAAAAAACACCCAGAATACAGGAAGTTGATAACATGCTTTTCTTCTCTTACTGAACAAAAAAATAGAGTCAGGAAAAAAAAAGTGAAATATAATGCAGGAAAGAAGATTATGACTTTTAAGCTTTTCAGGTCCTAGAAACTTATTGTGTCCAAGTACGGGACCGAACTCTTCTTGCCTTTCGTCTCTTCTGTCCTCCTTGGTCCCATTACTTCTATAGGTAACTGATAATATGGAACTACAGCTAGAGCGATTTGTGACCTAACAATTGCACATTTGGTACAATTATAATATGCTGAACAATTTCCCATTGTATTATCAAGATTCTTGTAAATAATATGGTTTCAAACATCCAAGAAGAATGGACAAAAGTACTAAGTTATAGTAAGAAATGGGTTGGAATAAAGTAGAAGCAAGTTTTATCGGAAAACACGAAGCAAAAAATAAGACAGGATTCAGGTCAAAATCACTATATCCACCCACCTACTGCAAACTAATTGTTAGAAATATAATGCTCTTCTACTAATAGTGATGTGGAGGGAAAAGAGATTGAAAATGATAATTATCTAGAGAGATATAGACTAGATCCAAGCCTTAAACAGTTTAAAGAAACATATACGAGGAGGTTTAATTGCAGCTATATGGTAGTATATGAGGAGCCCGAATCAACTTTTAAGTATCAAGCAGAGGTAATATACAACATAATTTATATACTATATTTTTCTCTGCCGAAGTCCAATGCCCCATATCCCACTCTTGGAATTTGGAAATAATCCAAAGTGTTCCTCTAGTCCTATTCCCATCGGCTGACTACTTTCTTAAGATTGCAGTGGTACTGTGTCCAATAAAATTATAATCCAAACATGTCAAACTGACCTTTGTAGTTTCTCTTACAGTTTCACTCAATATCCTCATAATTGCTTTAATTTATCAAATCATTCTCAATTCTGAACACCATTCGCCAAAATATTTGTGTTCTTACAAGTTTAATCAATTTTCAAATTTCAAACAGTCTTATCAGCATGGATGAAAGTTGAAACCAGCCTCTACTCAAAACTACAAACTAAGGAACCTCCTACTGCCGAGAACACTCACAAAAAACAAACATTTACCCTGTAGCTTAAGATAGACGATCCAGGAACACCACCAATGCGCCAACAAACCCCTTATCCCAAATCTTCGAGATCAGCTACATGAATATTTTTCTCTATTCTGCTCTCTTAAGGACCACTTTCTTTTCTAATTAAGGATTAACTATGCTTTCTATCCACCTCAATCCATGTTCATTTAGGTCCATGCAGTCCACCTTATTCCACCAGATACAACCCTCTCACTCTTCCTAGCAGACACGCGTGCGCACTGGCTCTCTCGTACGGATAAACCATCTTCACATTACGAGATGACTAGATGGTAAATCATACACAATATAATCGCATGCAAATCCATCACCTTGCAACAAGTTGGATATTATTTTAATAACTTCTACTAGCATCATAACAAAGTACAATACAGTCAAATTAATTCTTAAGCCTTCAGTGTCAAATTTTACAATTTTACAGTAATAAAGCGACAAACTCTTTGAAGAGCTTAAAAAAATTCAAATTTGTGAAAGAATACAAAATGGTAAAGTGCTGAAGGAAAAAAAAAATCAGTCTTTCAATATATAAATTCTACTATTAAAAAAATAATTGCTGGAAAATGAATGTATAGGCCACAATGAGTATGCAACAAATATGTATAGCAGGAAACAAGGGAATTCCTGTTAATTTATGTCAAGGATAAGAAAAATAGTAACACCATACACACACACACATACAACAGAAACTTGGTTCAGATAAGCCTGAGCATGAGTATGGATCTCATTTGAGCTCAGTAGTCAAAATGATAGTCGGTACAAACTACATAATAACTGTTTCAGCATAGATTCTTGTGATAATGAGCCATAGTTCTTATTTACTATTTGTGAATAAGCATAATACAACGTTTTCTTCTAAAAAGTTTTACTGCCAGTAATACTGGGATCCAAAATAGTGACAGTCAGGTACCAATGGAGCCAAAGCCTCACTTACAATCCATTATTGATGACAACACAAGTTTGAAGAGGGGAAAAGAATGTTAACCAGATCTGCATAGCAACCATATTCTAACGCAAAGGAAGAATAATATATTCTTCACAGTTAAAGGAAACCAAAACCAACTTATTATGGGTGTTCTTGTTAAACTTATTTTTAACTTCTAGAACCTCAAAATAAAGGACATGGTTCTCCATGAGTTAGCAAGTTCTTGACAACCTATTAATAAAGAGGTCATCTTTGAGTTAGCAAGTTCTTTGACAGCCTATAATTAAAAAAGACCTTACGAGGATGTTTGCTAAAACTGAGTGTTGAGGTAAAATTGTAATCATTTAAATTGACATGAAGGGGAGAGTGTGAAAATGTAAGGTGGTGCCAACCTATGAAGCACGGACACGCCAAAATTGGCCCCGAGTCCGTGTCCGACGCGTGTCGGACGCGAACACGTGTTCGACACGCATCGGACACGCGGTCAACTCCACTGACACGGTCAACGCACTGACACGTCCCAGATTCGTGAGCGACTCGTTCCCGACTCGTTCGCGAACAAAAAAGAAAACCCAAACCAAAACCCAAAACCCAAACCATAATTTCATTACTTACCGTCCCGACGCCGTCAGTCTCTTCCTCGTCCTCGTCTCTCTCTCCCTCTAGATCGACTCTTCCTCGTCCTTGTTTCTCTCGAGCTCGAGATCGGCTCTTCCTCATCCTCGACGCCGCCAATCTCGCGACGCTAGGTCAGTCTCTCTCCCTCTCTGAATCCGTCTCTCTCCCGATTTCTTTCTCTCTCTCTCAATCCGTCACTCTCTCACCCGATCTCTTTCTCTCTGATTCTCTTTCTCTCTTTCTCTCTCTTCTTTCTCTCTCTCTGATTCTCTTTCTCTCTCTCTGAAACCGTCTCTCTCTCTCAATCTCTCCGTCTCTCTAAGTCTCCCTGTTTATATATATGCACTTATTTTTTTAATATGAATATATTGTTAATTAAATTAGAGTTCCTATTGTTACATTTTAATTTACTATTTTCTTTTAATTTACTGTTAATTAATTAAGGTTCCATTAATTTACTATTAATTAATTAATTAATTAGGGTTTTATTTTTTAATTTACTGTTAATTAGAGAATACTGTCAAATACTTATAACATATTTTTGTTGAAGAGTTCCTCAATTTTGTAAGACATAAATTGCTTCTTGCAATTGAGTATAAAATTAAAAGTCGTATTTTTTAGTGATCCGGATTCTCTTTCCGATAGAGGACATATGGATCCAAAGTCATGGTGACTTCTTTATGGTCCAAGTACTCCAAATTTGCAAGCATTGGCTATAAAGCTTCTAGGCCAACCTTGTTCCTCTTCTTGTTGTGAACGGAATTGGAATATGTATGGTCTATGTAGCACGGACACGGATCCGACACGGTTATCCGACACGCCGACACGAGGTAAATCCTAAAAAATACATAGGATACGTGTGTTCGACACGTGTGTCCGACACGGACACGACACGACACGGCTTCATGTTATGCGTGTCCGTACTTCATAACGTATGGTTTCATTCACTCCTTAAAGAGGAACAAGCTAACCCCGGCACGTGCAGAGGATCTTGTTCCCCGGCACGTGCAGAGGATCTTGTTTATGTTCACACCAACCTTCGCTTACTTTCGCGAAGTTCGGAAGAGTACATGGAAGGGGAATAAAAAATGTGAGATATTGGTGGAGATGCTTTCGACTCATTTCAAGGTACCGACATTTTAGATGTTGCTGCCCTTTCTCTTGACGAGCCAACGATGGAGGCCGTTGTGTTTGAGGAGGATGAAGGAGTTGAAGCCATAGAAGTATAGAACGATCTTTTTTATGTTTCAACTTGAAAACTTTATTTTAAGATATGCTTTTGGTTATAATTTTATATTTTTGTAATGTTAGTAACTTAATATTTTGTAGTCATGGAACTATTTGCAACTTGAACTTTATTCTCTTGTAATTTTTATATGTTTGCAATGTTAGACTTGTTAGTAGCTTAGTATTTTGTGTTTGAGAATTACATTTTAGTTTGTTGTTTGAATTTTATAAATTTATCTATATATAATAATATTATTAAAAAAATCTACCTGTGTCGCCGTGTCCTATTTTTTGGGTTTTGTCGTGTCCGTGTCTGTGTCACCGTGTCTGTGTCCGTGCTTCATAGGTTCCAACTAGGCGCCAATGCCACGAAAAAATTGCAATTGTCGTGAAAGTCACATTGGGTCGTAGTGAGGGAAACAGGCAGATGACAGTGCAAAAAGTATCAAGTGTGTGGGTCCCTAAGTGTCAACCATTCAAATTGAGGGCAATTGAGGACAATGCATAAAAGATCGATACTATTATGGTAGAGGATTTTTTAGGGATATAGAAGTGACCTTGCATTAAACAATAAAAAAGGAAAACCAATTGAGGTAGGAAGTTCTTTCAAGAAGTACTAAACAAATATAACAGGGTAAATCTAAAACAATAACAAATAATTGATTCAAAAATTAAGTTAACTTAATCAAGAGATTAGACTAACCAATCTAAAGGAGGATATAAGTTGGACCATTCATCCGGGCACCTAACAAATGGGTAAATGATCAACTACATAATGGTAGCAGACAAAATTCTGAGGGAGAGATAACAACGAAATTAAATGTATAATGATAAACTTCCATTTTAAACTTTAGCAACAATAAGATCAATGTAGAAAGTTGAATTCTATGGCCAAAGAACATGCAGGAACAAGCTTCTTAAGGTTGGGGTACCGACCAAAACTAGAATATCAATGTAAGAAGTTAAATATTAAACTACTAATTCAGCATAATGCCTCTTGGCTAGCTATAATTATGAATAGATCAAGTAAAGAATGAATTCTTGCAAGATCATAGAAATCTGATGCATGCACAAAATAAGTAGAAGGAAATAGAATAAATTGAATCCATGAGAATAAATAAGAGCGCACTAACTATTCTATATACCTTGTTCTTTTAGGCTCGTTGCCTTCAATCTCTGTGGTTTCTGTTCGTTTCATTCCACTAGCAAGAATGACACCCGAAGAGTTCTCAGGTCTAATATATGACCCAAATTGCTCCCCGTCCGAGGAACTGAATTTGCTGCTTGTAGTTGCTGCCAATGGAACAGTTTCAGCAGGGAGTTTGTGAGAACCGCCTCTTTCCGCTAGTCCAATAATCAGTTCACATGTATGTTCCTCTTCGTATTTCTTAGCTTCAGGACTAAATGTTTCTGCTGCATTAGCTTTGGCAATTTGCTCGTCCCCTGAGCACATAATCTCGGGTAACTTGCTATTAGAATTCATCAATGGTTCTTTTTCACTAACCACATAACTGGGATTGATCTGACAGTGGCTTATTGGGGGCACAATTCTTTCAGACCTCAAATCAGAAGAGTTGCTTTTGAAGAATGCAGCACACAACTTTTTCTTTGATCTTATAACTTCAAGCATAGGGCTCTGTGAGTCAGAATTAGCTGCAAGATTATTCAATAAATTATAAGCCTCCTCATAGATGAAAAATCATTTACTAACTAGTGACAATAAGGCTATATCCATAAAACACAAATCACAAACCTAAAATGGACTTAATAGCAGCACGTGCGGCCATTTGTTCTGCTTCTTTCTTGTTTCTTCCAGGATCTCCAGTATATGTTTGCCCATTGAAAATCGTTGATGAGATAAACATTGGATGAATACTTCCTGTTGCTTGAGAAGTTTGGTAAGTTGGTTTTTCCAAACTCATTTTCATAGCATACTCATGAAGCATAGATTTGGCAAATGTTGCATCCTACAAGATGGCCAACAACATTAAAAGTTATAATGTATTATCACAAACTTGAATACATCTTTGCATTAGAAAAAATATCAACGTGAAGTGCCACGATGGTTCATTCACGAAAAAAATGATGGTTTACCTTTGTGAGAGTATTGAAATGATACGCATCCAACTATGTATAGAAATACTGATTAATATTTGTATTTTAAAGTAACTTTTCTTATTATGCTCTAATACTGAGACAATATAATATCCTTAAACCAAAAAAAATTGCTAATAAGAGCCTTGTTGTTCAAAAGAATTATATTTTCAAGAGTATACGTATCAATTCTCTCCCAATATTTTATGACACTAGCTAACTCTAATCAACCTTCATCTTTTGAAATATATTTGAAAATTAAGAAAAAGTTTTCTTTTTATGCTACATAAATACTAAAGATTTAAAATTTTTAGATAGAACTTTTAAATTTAATGGCAAAGTGTGGATGGATATTTTTTTAAAATGAAAAGAAGGATTTTTATTTGTTTTTATAAAATTATTTTTGAGAAATTTGATATCTGAAATTTAATTAGTAAAAGACAGCTTTTATAATTAATTTTTTATATTAGTTTAGATTTATTATGTTGTAATATATTTTACTACTTCCAAATAATTTTTCAATCTTGATTTGGTTGAGATTTATATTTGAAATCTAATTAGTTAAGAATGTCTTTTCATTAATTTTGTAACATATAATTGTTAAATTTATATTTGTAATTTTTAATGTATAGTATATTTTTTAACAAAAACTATTTAATACTTAATTCATTTATTGTTGAGCCTAGTCCCATGGATCTGTAGGTTTGTTTTTGGATGAATTGGGTCCAATCTTTTTCTTGATTTTTGTAGATGCACTAGGCTCACTCTTTTGTTGGAGGGAGGGAGGGCTTGATACGATTGCATAGATGAAATAACTGAAATACTCAAATACCCTTCAACTTTTAGAAGGATGAAGGAGCACGTCCTCAATCCTTTAATTTTATCCTACACTTTGTTGGGTTTTTTTTTAAATAGTTGTATATATAATGTAAGTGTATGTGTAAACATAGCAAATAATGGGCATCTATATGTCACATGAGGTTATTCTCTCATATACACTAATATACACTGATGTGACTCAACCTCAACCAAGTGTGGCTATGAAGGATTTTTCCCTCCTCCTTTATTCACTTGATTGAGATTAAGCCTAAATTCACATCATTTTGATATAAGAGAGTCCCCTCATATGACAAGGATACCCAATATTATTTTGTGTGTGATACCCAGATTTAATTTGCATGTGTATGTGGGGGTGCGTGTAGGTGTGGGTGTAGGGAGACCTGTGTATTTTATGAAACAAAGACAGGCATACATATATGGGAAGACGAGCCAGACTTGGGTACTCCAGGAAGGGTTTGGATGCAGAAATTTCTCATTCATATTTAATGTTGGAAACTTCCAAGTTGAATATCTACTATGTTCCGATTGGATCTACATCATTTAAAGTATATAAATAAAAAATAAATGAACTTTTTCTGATTCATCAGGTATCCCTGAACATATTAGCAAATTACTTATATCAATGGTTTGATACATCCAAGTTGACCAACAGAATCCGATCTTCCCACTTTAAAACTCTGCGGCAAAACATTATTTTGATTTTGAGACATTAGATTATTCGAGTATGGACCCACAACTTTTAGCTGTCCACTTTTTTGTTCCTAAATGCATGGGCAAAAAAAAAAACATCTGATTTCTTCTTTCGAGAAACTATCAATTTGCTGACAACTTCCATCGATAGCGTATTCGATTGTGTTTACCTACTATTTGATCTGAACAGGAAGGATTTTGATGCAAAGTTGCAAACCCTTCCAACAAGGCCCAATTCTCTTACACGAGATGCCTTGAAATAATAAAAGCAATAGCAATATACATCTTTATAGATCGCATGCATTAACCCAATTATGCATGAAAAACACTACTTGCTTAGAAGCTTTAAGAGGTCAAAGGTGTTGATGGCCTGAACCACTGCCCAGAACTTGCACGCCTTTTTCAAGGCACTTTTCTTGAATTGTAATTTGTAAACGCCCAACATGCAGACAAGAAACACAAGGTAGAATCGTAATGTTCAAATAAATGAAAATTTCATGCAAGAGACATGTCAAATCTAGGCTCCATGTGACTACAACTCCATGCATCAACAACTCACGATAGAATGGTACTATTTTCCTTTATATGCTTTCATAGTCAGATTTACTTAATAGTGGTCAAGTAAAAAGAGAGTAAACCTAATGAGCCCTTGCATTGTTTATAGAATTCATAGCAGTAACCACTAAGTATGTCAGAAGATCACCAGTAGAAGATGCCGCATACCTCAAGAATTGAAGAGATATCAATCTTTCGAGATAAGCTTTCAAGAGCAAGTTTCGCCGCGTCCTGCTCAGCTGCTTTTCTTTGAAGAAATGTATTAGGAGATGTGAATGTTATCCCATCAACTGTAACAGAAGATCTGAACAGTGGTGTATGTTGATACCCTTCATTTTCAGTGCGATAAACTGGCAGAGGTAATCTTGACTTTTGGGCAAACTCCTGTAGTCGATTTTTATTCATGAATTGCTCTTTAAAACCTGAAAATGTTTGGAAAAAAGTTACAAACCATGCAAAAAGTGCTTACTCTTAGAATGCTGATATCAGATACAATGCAACCTACAATGACTGGAATATATATCCCGCAATTTTCTACGTATTTCTTAACCAAAATATATATACGTATGGCCAACAAATTTCACTAGACTATGGTTGAAAACTAGCAAAATTACAACAAAGATTATTAACTGGTAAAACCACGAGAATCAGCGTATAGATTTATGACCAAATGCGAAAATTTACGATGCATGAGCTATGAATTTCTCCTAAAACATGTCAAATTGTAGATGTACATCATCATCATCTATGGACGAAATCCGCCTAAATGAAATCAAAAGAGAAGACATCGCACTGAACTATAAACAAACTAAACTTAGTAAAATCTCGAATTGGAAACAAATATGGACACAAATCCGCCTAAATGAAAACCCTAACTTACACCGCGAAAAAGATCAAGATAGTGGGATAAACGAAAATTGATGGGAAGGAAACCCTAGAAATGGAGAAGATTACCTTGATCCTTCGCCGGAGCGTTCATCTCCATTGGTCGAGAGAGGCTAGGGTTTAAGGGAATAACTCTCTTGAGTTGAGAACGAATATCGGAGATTTTATCAGTGCGACAAAAGAACAAATTTTCAAATAAACCCATTCAAACTTTTAATCCCATTCAAACTTTATTTAAAAAATCGACCCACTTTCTCGTCATGTCAGCCTCGTGGCTAGAAAGTGGATCGATTTTTTTTAATCGCGATCCTAATTAGTCGGTGTTGTCAACCCCGACTAATTAGGAGCTCGTCCGCATCCTTTTGGTCGTTAGGGGGATAAACAAGTCGAGGCTCGAAACCCCGACTAATTTGGGGATTGCATTAAATGATCAGAGTTCTCAACGCCGACCATTTAGCAGAGACTCACATGGCGGAGGGACTAAGTCGAAATCGGACTAAGTTATGAAATAATCGGGGTTGTCAACCTCAACTATTTCTGGTGGTCCCCTCACCCATATATATATTATATATATACTGATCGAACCTCTATCTTCTCCCCCCAAATCATGATTTTTCTCCTCTCAACTCCGGTCTCTCTCGTCCAGCCGCCTCCCCACTACTCCCAACTCTATTTTGTTGCCAAAATTCATCGTGAAAGTTTGCTCAAGATCTCTAGGGTAATTTCTCTTCCTTCTCTCCTCTTTTAACATGTAAAAATCTAGGGTTTTCTACCAAATTCCAATTTCTAGGGTTTGAAATTTATTATCAATCACTATATTTGTGGTGGTTCGAATACTTTGTGTGTTGATTGTTGTAATTAAAATTAAACTTCTAGGGCATAGAATGCTCAATTCTAGTGTTTAGGGTTTTTGGTCAAAATTATATGAGATTGTTTGCATCTTGGTTTTTCCTCTATTATTCAAAGCACTGATAAACTTTATTTTATTTTTTTATTTAAATGATATAATCTTCTTTTTTATAGGTTGAACAATATAATTTTTATTGCTTGCTCTTATGGTGGGAAAATTAATTATGGAATGAATAATATACCAATGTACGTCAGAGGGGTAACAACGCCGTTAATGATCTCGGAATCATATAGTTATCGTGACTTCATCAATGAATTACACCGAGTTACGGGAATTGACCCACGAGAATACCGACTAAAAATAATATACAATTGGCCCATAACTATTGATAGAATGTCCATAGTTGAGATCTCAATTGATCATCATATGAGTATTATGTTTAATTTGAGCAAGTTGCAACCAACGATATAATTGTTTATTGAAAAGTAGCCATATAGTTCGTGCCAAACACTCAAACCTCCAGGAGAATTCACATGCATGTTAGATTTGGGAGTTGAGTCTGATTGTTTTCTTTCTTCTTCGAGTGAAATGGAGCGAACTTAATTCAATATCTAAGTGTACCTTCGTTCAAGGTAAAGTCGAATGTTATGAACAATGACGTCCCTTATAAAAATATGAGGCCGTTAAGAGGGAAACAATTGAAGAGGATTAAAGAAGCAACGACTCTGAAGGTGAAGAGCAAGATAGTGCACTACTTGATAGCATGCAATTTGCGACTAAAGATGTTGAAGAGAATCCGGATTGGCCTGATGAGACTTATGCAAATAATGAATATGTTGAGTACGAAGAACCACCCCCCCCCAGTTTGAAGATGATGAGTGGATTCGTTCTTCCACAGTACAAGATATGTGCATTGGCCAAAGTTCAACTCAAAGAAGAGATGATGACGTCCCTTTCAGAGTTAGAGATTTATTCGAGACTAAGGCCCAATTGGTTGATGCTATTAGTAATTACTCAATCAAAAAGAATGTCAAATTCAAGCAAGTCTAAAGTAATCGCAAAGTTATGATATAATCTGTTTTATGAATACACAAATAAAAGGTCAGACCAAGGGAAATGAAGCTGATTACGCATGTCCTTGGAAGTTATATGCATTTACCGGAAAGAAACATAATGGGCATTTTAGGATCACAGAATACAGCGATGTTCACACATGTAGCAATCCAATATTAGAGCAAGATCACAGTGGTGCATCTGCCTCTTACATAGAGCGGTTGATTATGCCAAAATAAAAGAAGAAGCTTGAACTAACTCCCGTTAATATAATTGAGAGAATGCTAGATACGAAGTTCATTGAAATATCATATAGTAAAGCATGGAATGCAAGGAGAATTGCGATGACAAAAATATTTGGTGATTAAGAGAAGTCTTACGCGACACTTCCTCAATATCTTAAGGCGATCAAAGAAGTAATCCTAGATCTAAATACAAACTCATAACCAAAGAGATCAATCCGGAAGTTCATCAATTCATCTCTGTATTTTGGGTATTTGGTCCTTTGATCGAGGGATTTAAATTTTGTCGGTCGGTTCTTAGCATTGATGGCACACACTTATATGATAAATATAAGGGTGTATTGCTTGTTGCTACAGGAGTAGATGCAAATGATGGCTTATTTCCTTTGGCCTTCACAGTTGTGGAGGTCGAGAATAGTAAAAACTGAGAATGATATTTTTCATGCATTCAATTATATATTTTTAATGTGTTACCTCCTAGAAAAATTACCTTTATATTCGATAGGATGAAAGGTATCGCTAAAGCATTGTACAGGAGATTTTGCTCTCATCACCATCACTGCTATTGCTTAAGACACATTAGAGCTATTTTAAAAAGAGCTTTGGTCAGATACATTTGCAAAACCTTCTTTAGCAAGTGGGTTATACACCCAAAACATGTGTGTATGATCGGATACAGTAACAAATCAAGGAAATATCTCAAGCAGCACATGACTGGATTGAGAGTAGTTTGGGAAGTGAATATGTCGATCGATGGGCACTAAGTAAAGATGGAGGGAATCAATTTTACATGATGACAACTAATTGTTCTATAAGCTTCAATGGGGTACTTAAGGGGGCTCAAGCAACTCATATAGGCATTGGTTGCAAGGATATTTTATAGACTTAATCACTACTTTGTCAAGCGGTGAAAGGATGGAGCAATTTGGGGGATGTTATTGACACCAAAAAATAAAGAGATTGTAGGGTCTCGTGTCATGTAGGAGAGATCAACGAAGATTATTAGATTTACTATAGATGAATGGCAGGTTATAGACAAACACTGTCATAATTAGACTGTCAATTTACGAGAGACACAATGCGCATGCACTTGTAAATACCGCAATTGCAAAAACTGCCATGTTTGCATGTTATAGCGGTTACGTCCGAACAATTTGGGGGTGAAAATACTTCGTATTACGCATACGTTTCTGAGTGGCATCAATTAAGCCACTATAGAGATTCATAAAAGTAGTGTTTCCATCCCATTGTAGAAAGTTGTTACTGGCCATCTTATAACGAGCCGCATGTGTTACCTCCTAAATATAAGAGACAAGCCGGAAATCCGCGATCAGTACACATAAAAGGTACGATGGATGAAGAACGGGAAGGAGCTCTAAAAAATAGGTGTGGATATTGCAGACAACCAGACCATAATAGATCTTATTGTCCTACCAATCTAAATAAATAGCAATTAATGGGTACAATTTATTTAATTTTTAATTTATTCTACTTCCTTTGTAAGTCAAATGCTTATATATATAATATGTAATTTTAATCTACTTCTAATTTAGCATATGTTATAATACTGACACATTTTATCATTATATGTGTAGATATTTGCAGTATGGAGTCGGGTCCATTGACATATGAGGTCCTTTATCACCAAAATTGACACCGATCCGTGAAGATAGACTTTGGGAAGGTAAATTACATTTTTATTATTTTCAATCATTTCAATTTTTTAATGTTCTTGATTGTTATTGAACATTTACACTGTTTAATATATGCAGGCCCCGAGTATTACTATTGTTGATCATACTCGTGCACATTCGAGTTAGAATTTGACAAATCCACAGGTCCAATATTATGTTCGTCAATCAGGCTTTTTTGAGTGTTCACAAATAAAATGGGTAAGACTTGATTAGGCTCTCTTGACGGCATTGATTGAACAATGTGTTAGCTCTCATGTTTATGAGCCTATTGTCTAATCTGGTTTTGATGATTAACAAACAATTCCTAACATCGTTTTCTAGTATTTGTGCATTCAAGATTCTCATCCTTTTGGAGGTTGGATGAATTTGCACATTAATGATGACTTCCTATTGGAGGTTGGCAGAAATTAGAATGAAGTCTTTCCCATTCAAGTCAAATACACACTATCGCGCTTCATCCCTGCTACTAAGATCAAGCTTCATAAAGATTCTTAGCTTGGGTATAGTGTTTGTTAGTTTAGGTATTTTACTTTATGTGTTTATACTTAAAGCCCAAACCATACACATACACATCATTTCGTTTTATCATTTTCATTGTTTATTCGCCTTGTTAAAGTGTTTTTGAATACCTCTGTGAATAGGTTTAGACATAAAAATATATCTATTAGTTTCATATTTATCGCATTATATATCTATTTGGGAAGATAACGTGTTTTCGGATTATAGACTTAATGATACTATTTTACGTTTTTTCTAAAGTCTATTAATCCATTTAAAAATATCTCCAAACTGTTTTGAAATGATTTTATCAGAATCAAGCATTTAACGATTTTGTTTTTTGATGATTCTGTTAATCTAAAAAATCATATTTAACGATTTTGTAAATTTTACAAAATAAGGAGTTTACACAAATGGAAAGTGCTATTTTAGAAATTCCTCTTTTAACATGTTTATTTTTGTATGTATAAATTTTTTTCCAAGTTTCACAATTTTTGGAATTGTTTGGCTTTTTTTCTTGCTTTTGTTGACTACCAAAATTTTAGTAGTCAGTCGACTGAACAGTCAACTAGTCGACTTGGTAGAAGCTGTTTTTTTACAGAAACTGCTATTTCAGTCAACCAGTCAAGCGGTTGCTTGAATCAGTTGATCGAACACTCTTTTCAATCGGCTGACCAAGGTTTTCAGTCGACTTGCCAGAAGTAGTTTACAGCAACTTCTATTACAGTCGACCAGTCAACCGACTATTTGAATCGGTCAACCTAACAGTAACTAAGTGGACCAATCATATTTTTCCAAACACTTAGAGAAGTCCAAACACTTGAGGTAGT